TACGTTTAGTGTCTCTGGGGGGTCAATAAGCGATACTCCATGGTACCTAGAGAGGGGGAAAAGAAAGATGCAGGATGTCATCTTGCTCAAGTGCTCTCTGACACAAACCAGCTAAGTACTGCAGCAAAGCACATTGCTCACAAGGCAGGAAACATTTGGGGCTTGTCAGCTGCAATGCTGCCACAGGTTTTTAGGTGCATTGGGCACCATTTCCTGCCTACCAACTGTGGGAACATAAGAAAATTGCTCCAGTTTCTACCTGACAATTTGGGTAGTGATAGCAGCCCTGGTGAACACCAAGTACTGCTCAACAGAACACTGCAAAAACCTGAGGAGTCTTGTCACCATCTTGCTGACATAGTAGATTTGGTTAGTTGAATCTCAAGACTCAAGATACACCCAACCCCTCTCCTCCCCCCCATTAAGCAGTTATGTGCTAGGATAACTTGGGTATACATACCAACTCAACACGCATCTCTACAGATACTCACTTTGTACCCTTGTACTTTTCCCTTATGGACTGTTGTGTGTGCTGTGCTGCTTTGAGGTAGGTCTTGTGTAGGTCCAGGAGGCAAGGCTTGATGTCCTCAAGGGAGTAGCCCGTTACTTTGCACAAGGATTCAGGCTGATGGAAAAAGGAACCTTTTAATGATTCTGCTCACTTACACCAACAGCCACTGATGAAGATTTTAGCTTGCTTGTGAAACTGTTGTTCCAGAGCACTGTTTTCTGAAGCACTAAGTAGTTTAATACTCATCAGATTTTTAGCAGTTCATGTAGACTTATAGTAATCCTGAAAACTATCATACTGTAAACAAGTATTCCTTGCCTCCAGTGCTTCAGCTTTATAACCACCCACTTCCTCATCACAAGCAAGCTGCTTACAGCTTTGAGAATGATCGACAGAATGGAGTGCATCAGTAGATGTCTCTTCCAAGGGGTGTATGTGCCTCCCATTTTTCAATTACCACAAATAACAATCCATAATTAACAGCCAAAGAGTGCAGAGGGGCAGCGATTCCTGCAGCCCAAGCCTTTAGAACCTACGAATACACTAGACACACATAAAGTTGTGTGGAGGCTCGAGTTCAGTGTTACATACCCAAGTTTGTCCAGTGATAGTATAGCCTGCTAGATGAAACGCTGCAGCAGCAATAACTGATGGCAAGTATTTCAGGTAAGGATCAGCATCAATTAGACTCAGCTCCCCAAGGTACTGCAAGAGAAATGAGAGTAAGGGGAATCATCTGCTTCCAAAAGGAAGTAGAAGAGCCTTTAAATAGTTGCACTAGAACCCTCATTTAAGTTTCCAATCCTGCTATTAGATGGAGCACAGCTTTTACTAGTGTCCACTTACTTTCTCTTTTAGCATTGACTGTTTGCTACTGTCAAAAAGCATTCCCAACCTATATTTTTTCAATACCACATTTTATATGTAGAGGTATTTTTTAATCCAGAAGGCAGGTTGTAGTCAGGCCCGACCTTTACACAATGAGACAAAGGCTTCTATTTGGGAGCTCTGGTACCTGCCACACAATTAGGATTTAATATAACTGTAGCTAAAATGTTACCTGTGCTGTGCTTAAGAAACCAGCCTCTGGATTTAAAGCTCACTGCTTATTGAAGGGGAAACCAAAGCACAAGTCCTTTTTTGCCAAAGTGGATGAGTAGGTGTGGCAGCTTGAGATAAAGAGAGAAACATCTAGCAGTGAAACAAACCCCAAATTAAAGTTGAATCTCTGCCTGCTCTGATGTAAGTGGGCATGCTGGAGCTGGGCAAGTGTAAGCCTGTGACAGGAATGGAGCATTTCAAACAGTGCACGGTGATAGGAGCATTAATTTCCAGTGGTGTGGCACCACTGCTGGAGGAGCATGTATCAAACTGTACAAGCTCTCCAGAGCTTTCCCAGAGACTACACATTTAAAAGGAGGAGGCAGGGAAGCCTGGGCTGGAGAATCCTTCAGCATTTCTTTTCTACTGGGACTACGGAACAGAGCTTGTGAACTTTGTAGTCACACAGGTCAAGTTACTAATTCTTACTTACCATTGATAGGCTCTCCACTTTAGGATTTGTCTGCTCATGTAGGAAATACTGAGTGAGGAACTGGTTTATTGTTGGAGCTGCCAAGTCAAATGACAAAACCTTCAAAATTAAGTGCTCCATTCTTAGAACTTGCTTCTTGGTGTAGGTGTCATCTGTGATATAGACAAACTCTGCTACTTCAGGAGGGTAGATTTCTTCAAACTTCCTGCCAGGAGAAGTAGTTATGAGCAAATAATCAAATACTAGAAAGCTAGATAAGTAGCAACACTTAATGAAAGCCAGCATCCTACTTTGAATTCTGACCTGTGAAGTAGCTGGCCACTATTACTGAACGAGTTTGCTGCACTTGATTCTGTAGCTCTTGAATCAGCAGAATTACAGAACTACAATTGCTTAGTGCTAACATATCAGGCTATCCGGCACTCAGTTACAGAAATTCCAGAACAACCCATGAAACTAACATGCATAAGTAACTGTTCAGAAGCCTGCTGCTGCACCTAGAAATGATGAATCCTCACCTGAGGGCCGTCTACAAAGACACCCTAGAACCTTGCTTGCAAAGTTTCATATAAACTACCAAACTTTTAGGTTGACAACTCCCAATTTGTCTTCTAGTGTGAAGCTCTCCCGTGGCTATAGTATTTCTGATGCCTGTAGCCAGACATGCCATAGCCAAAGGATTCCATCTGTACAAGGCCAGGAGGTAGAATTTTAAATTCAGCAATCTCACTTACGATGCAAGCAGCATAGCCGCAGTACCCACAAGCTGAAGTTTTCCTCTCAAAACAGACATGGAAGAAAGAAACCTATCAATGTAATTTACAGCTAAGTGCAGGGTTTCATTCTGCAATTTGTATTCTTCTCCAACTTCCACCAGCCAGTCCACAAGAATGGCCCGCATGTTGTTTGTAATATCAGGTTGCTTCTTCATGTAACCCATCTTAGGCTTGCACTTCACCTGTAGGTTTAGAAGACAGGTAAGATTGAGTTTGGACTATGTGCTGGTAGGGGAGCAACTGTTTATTTACCACAATTTAAGCAGACCAGAAGTAAACAAGGATAAGATTAGGCTCAGTACCTTACATTTCCATAATCTGGCTTTCCAACTTCAGTTCATGGCACAATCAATCAACTTGATCACAAGAAACCAATCTCATATTCATACAAGTGGACACAGCAACTTATTCCTCCATTTCTAGCAAGTTCTAGTTTAGTCACTATAGTAGTGACTAATGTTTACATCCATTTCTCAGCCTCGAATCTCTCCCCCATAACCTGTACACAAATAAATAGAGAGCAGCTCACCTCCATTTCCCTAAGGTATGCATGGATATCGCTGATATAGTCTGGCATGTTATTAACATTTGTTTTTTTCTCTTCTGCTTCTGAGGTTATTGAAATATCCATAATACTTGGAGAATCTAAGCAGAAGATAAAAGCCATATTAAAAGGGGGCCCATAAGACCACTCTCTCACAGCAGAGGGAACTACCCTTTTGATTGAAAAATTGCTGTATTGTAACGGCATGCCCAAAGAAACAAAACTGGTTTCAGCAACCGGAAAGGGATCTTTTGGGTCGAACCAAACCAGTGTCTGTCCCCTACAGCCTCCAGTTTGCTCTGGAAACACCTCCCCGAGATCACACCTGGGTAGGAAACGCTCGCCCCCGAGCTGCCCGGGAAAAGGCCCTGCGGACCCGGGCGCTGCAACAGGGCTGCCGGAGCCTCGGGATGGGGGGGGGGGGGGGGGGGGGAATTGTTGGCACATACCGAAGCTCAGCTCCATGGCGTTGCCCAGGGGTGCCAGAGGCCGCCGCTCCCCGAGGGCGCAGACAGCCGCACGAAGACCCAGCGAGGCCTCCTCTTTTCGGGTCGCCGGGCTACCCCGTCGCCGCTGCTGCTGCTGCTCCCCATCCGGCTCGTCCACATGGATGGCGAAGGGCTGCTGCCCACCGCCCGGCCGCCCCGCCGCCGCGCCATGGCTCTCGCAGCCGCGCCGCCCCGCCTGTGTGGAGAGCGGCCCATCAGCGCCGTAGAGGGCCCGGTCCGGCACTGACACCCTCCGCCGCCCCAGCCCATCTCACCCCTTACCGCGCTCGCCCACACCCGCTGCCCCACTCACCTGCGGCAGGAGCCCGGGCCGCTGCTGGGCGCTCCTCAGCAGCCCCAGCACCACGCGGGTGCCGCCGACGGGTGGCGGCGGCGCTTTGGCGCCTGGAGGAACGTTCTCCTGGTTCTCCTGCTCCGCCAACATGGCCGCGGGAGGGGCCGCCGGAGGAAGAGGGCGACCAGGAAAAACCAAAGCGGCCGCCGAGACTCGCGCTGAAGCGCCGCTCTCGCCGTTCAAGTAGCCCGCGACTATTGAATCAGCCAATCAGAGGGAGCGGCGACGCACGGCGTCACGCGGCCTAAGGGCAGCGGCAGGAGCCAATCCGGGCGGGGCGAGCGGCGGGCAGTGCCCGAGGCGAAGGGGCGGGGCCTGGCGGGCGGCGCAGGGACGGGCCGGCGGGAGCGCGCGTCGTCCGCAGTGATGGCGGCGCTGCGTCGGGGATGGCGGGTGAGCCGCGCTCGGTGCGCGCAGCCGGCTCAGCGCTCCCAGCCGTGAGGGACACCGAGCGACAAGCAAGGCGGGGGTTTGAAATGAAGAACGAAGACACGGGAGAAGCACGGAGAAAGTTTAATGCGAGCCACGCTCCAAGCAGGAGTGAACGTGCAGCTCCAATAGCAGCTGTCTTGACCCTAAAGTACAGTTTCCCCCTTCTTCATGCACCCCAGTGACATTAGGTGTGACAACACAAATACCCGCAGCAGGCAAATACCATAGTTAGGTACAGGTTAACACACAGATTTCTTCTACCTTTAGTTAGGTCTGTGAAAAACAGTTTCTCCAGATGTTCTTACAGGTGGAAAAAGTTTTTGCAAGAAGGAAACGGGGTATTTATACCTGATTCTAGGTTTTCTTTAGCTCTCAGGAACATCGTGGGTGTAGATACTCTGCGTGCACTTAACAGCTGATATAAACTAAAGGTGACTACTGCATTCAGTAGGATAATAAATACAAATGAAGCTGAAGTACAACATAGTGTTTTTCTTAAAAAGTGCTTTTGGACTGAATACTGAACTGCCTTGAGTAAAATAAAAAAAAAAAGAAAAATTACCCAGCTTTTCCCTTATCAGGCTGCAGCGTCAAAGAAAGCAATTAGTCCGTCTTGGTCACAGCCATCCAGAGTTTCGAGGAGAAGAGGAACTTTGCTTTTCACATTGGTGCCTTTAAATTTAAATTTATCTATGAAGAGATCCGTGATCATACCTGCAAATGTAAAATTCGAGGAGTATTATTTGCCTTGTTTTCTCTAGCTGACGTATCTCTAAGTCACTATTATGTACCAACTATTCTAATTTAATTTGGGCTTAGAGATGAGATTCTTTTCAAACCTCATGTTTTAAACCATGATTTACTTATAAATAGACCCAAAACAGTTATGACATCACAGATTCCAGCTTCATTCCAAAGCATGTATTTCTGACTTAGAATTACCCACATCTGAAACATAAAAGAGTGAGGAACTATCATGGGATGGGTAAAGGGGACTCTGCTTATGCTGTATATACTTAGGCTTATTACACCTGGCATCTGGCAGAGAATCTCTGAGCTGAGAGGTGACTGGGGAACACCAGAGAAGGTTACAGAATTTCCTTCACTAACTTGGATCATTTTCCACAAGTCTCCCTTCCCACCCCATGTTTAATTTTCTGTTTTTATGATGTTTTGCAAAATTTAACCAGTCATTTAGCTCATACACATTCTTAAATGCCATTGTGAATTTGAATATGATCCTTAATTATGTCCATAAAGACATGGAACATAAGATACATGACAAGAATAAAATAAGCTGTCTGTTAAGAAAAGCCACTTGCAAATAAACCTGGTATCTTCATTCTCAGTAATATGCTTGTGATGCCCAAAAATTCTTGGGTGAACAATTCTTGAGTACCTTTAGAGAGTTACTTGAAGTTTGTAGTAGCATACAAGCTATTTCCAGTATTTGCTAGGCTTTTTTACTACCTTACCTTTAACTTTAGATTTTTATGATCAAAACCAGGATGTAAATATGCAGTCTTGCCTGTATGACCAGACAGTCCTGAACCTAACCAAGTGTACACACTTATCAAATTATTTCAACTCTACTAATTCTTACTTCGTAACAATTGCAGTCACATCGACTGTGCTCTCTGGACATCAAGTTACATTTAAATAAAAAGTTGAATTGATCAACAAACCATAAAGTCTCTCAAGATGCGCAGGTTGTCTCTTGTATTCCTCGAGCAGCTCATCTGCCTCTTCCAAAATGCTGCGGTATTTTGGTAGCAGGAAGTCCACATTTCCTTCATGAACTTGTAATTCCTCAAAGACATTATAAATCATTAAAAATTAACAGCATTTAATTATCATGAAAGCATAAAAGTATGAAGACAGGAGTCTGACAGGAGGAAGTACTTCAGAGACAAAGACAATCGCCTTCCAAACTAGCAGGAGTTACTTTCGAAGTGCTTAATTTTCTAGTCTTATAATGAAATGCCAGATGTCACCTGTCACTTCCTAGACTGGATTCTCAAAATCCTGTGTATTACAGCCTCCAGCTACAAGTACTGCCAGAACAGGATCGCACCACCACCCAGCACCTACAGGATCAAGCCTAGTGGAGGCTCAAAGCCTTCATCATGTCTTCATTTCTAGAGTAAGTAAATGCCTAAAAGGTGTAGCACATGCTGAAGTCTGAGAGTAAAAGTAAACTCTGAAAGCATCACTCAAATTGTGACAGCAAAAAGTTTTAAAGACCTCTTCTAAATGCCCCAGTTTACCATCAGACCAATCTAAGATGATCAATAGTACAGATCTTTTTATTCTCCACAGAAAGACTGTTCTTTTCCAGACAAAAGGTAATTATGCTGTGCCTCATGAGTCTGCTAGGATAATAGCTTTCATCAATCATCAGATTATTTTACTGGCTATCAATAAGTTTTTATCAAAAAAAAAAAAAAAAGCAACAAGACTAAAAAAAAAACCAACACATAAAAAAAAACCAAGAAAGAGTTATTGAAGATCTGCTAAGAGAAAAAAAAGCTTAAAACAAGCAAGATGTGCATCACCATTATCACTGCACAAACATAATGTGCATTAAGAATAAATTCTCTATTATTCTCACCCCCTGGTTTGTCACATATAAACCCTATTAAGGTAAAATACTTTTAGTGATAATAAAGGCACATACTATTCTCACTGGTAGTCAGTTTTTCTACTAACTGAAGAGTTCTGGCAACTAGTATTTGATTCCCCCAAAGGACCAGAGAGAATCGGTTGCCTGTTTTCATCTCCACTCTCCCTCAAAAACCACAAAAAAATACCAACAGAGATGATAGCAAGTCTTTGACAGTAAAATCCTGTTTGCTGAATTTCCAGTTGTTGGAAAAAGTCCAAGAGACAAGCTGCCTAACTGGTACCTTCCAAAGACAAACTGTTGAGGAGGAGGTATTAAGCAAAAGATTTAAAAGCAGATAATTCAGAAATTATGACACACTGGGATAAAGTTCCAAAGAGAGGGAGCTGCATCTGGCCTGGATGTTCATTCCCAGATCTAAAAAAACCTTCAATGGTTAGTGGAAAGAAACAAAGGAACTGGAAAATAACAGCAGGCAAAAGGAGAATGTTAGGTGGTAAAGCTGTCTGCCTTCTACTGTCCAGTTTAAGCATCCTCAACATCAGTCAGTAATCCTACACGTTATTCACTAGTTGCATAGTATAAATGGGAATTTTCCTTGAAGAAGTCTGTCTCCTAGATAATTAAAATACATATCCTGGGAACAGAAACTGAATGGAAACCAGAATGACACACATCTGACTTGAGCTGTGCAGCTTGGTATCTGACAGCATAATTCCCCCTAAAAAATCCTTCCTGCAGGAGTTCAGATACTTACTCTCAAAGCATCTATTAAGTGAACCTTCTTGGCCAACAGTTGCTGGTACTCTAATTTTGGGTGGATAAGCTTTAATGTGTGCCTCACAGATTCTTCATTTATGTCTGGCAGGGAGTGAAAAAAAACCAACAAGCAAATAAATATCAAATATTCCATGTATAAGAATATAAAATTGAAGTCAAGGACAACAAAACAGGAAAGTTTTACCATATGATATGTTGAGATTAATCTTCCTTTTCGTAGCCTCCTTGGAAAGCACATCTTTTAGGATGGATATTGTAGAAATGTTGTCAGACTTAAAACATCCCTCACCTTTTCTATAAAGGAAGAAAAAATTTAAATGAACAAACTTAAACACACATGGGTGCAGTAGATTTGTCCCTGCGTTAAAATAGGAGGCCTGTAAGTCAATGTCCCTATCAAAGTAGGCAACCTCTATAAAGGTTGTAATGATTCTCCATGTATCACGCATGTATACACATCTATGCTATTCTGTCCTTCCCACGGTAACCTTCAAAGAGAACACTTTGTTCCATAAATAAAACAAAGCAGTATACACAGATCTCAGGTATACAAAAAGCAGTTATCTTTACTGTATGGCACTAAGGTTACACAAGTAAGATTTCTGACTGTATATATTCCTCCTAAGTTTTATCATTGCCATACCTTGAAGCCAAGCAGGAAAGCTTCAGTTCCAGAAGGGTATTAAAACTTCCCCTTCTCCCCAGCAAACCACCACCCAGCAGCTTTTTACATTATGAGTAGGCAACATGTATGGTAGGCAGGGAGTAGGCTGGAATCTAAATAATTACAACGGATGTTGTAATAACAGTTCCATTTTCAGGTGGATATATATAATTTGCTGAAGGAAGATATAACTAAGTTGAGAACTGAGTATTAATCTGAAACACAGAAATAATATTTGCCTAATAAAAGCTTCAGAAAAAAAGGATTTTAGCTTAACGTTCATCACATTTTTGTTTGCATGAGCATTAAATGCCTTTTTCTGCTGCTCAATAAAAAAAAAAAAAGACGTTAGAAAACAATAGGCATTACACAGTCATTTCAGGGCTATATTAGCTAGCTCTATTCTTTAAATTCTAAAAGCAAGCCAACATCTTAACAATATACCAAGCCTTTCTTCCCTGGCAATTTTGGTTTTTTGGACAAACTTAAAGAAAAACCCTATTTGAGATACAGAGTGCATCATTACTGGATAATGCATACCCTGGTAATGTTTGACAAGCCTTTCTAAGAAAGATTCCTATTCTCTTTAGTAGGATGGGATTGAGGGTAGAGTGGTATGTGCATGAAATGGTACTTGCAGACTGGTCAAGAATGAAAAAGACAAACCCCACAGCATAGTCACATTGCACTTAATTAATTGTATTTTACCTGTAAGTGCTTTCAAGCTGCGTACCCAGGAAGGTGTTCTGAAAATAAAAGGTGATGCTCTCTCCAGCGGGAGTCTTTTCAGGCACCTCAGGCAAGCAAAACACAACCCATGAGTGAATTTCAGCAAAACTGAACTGGCCTTTGAGCATCAGTGTATTCATGGGTCTGTGACATTATGAAATTAACAACAAAAAACAAAGCAGTTAATGAAGGAGGGGCACTGCTAGTGCACTAGTTACTCATACGAAAAAAAAGGTTAGTTCCACATTGTGGTTTATTTTTAATCTACACCCTGGGAAATGTCGGGTATCTTGCTAAGTAGTTACATCTTGTAGATTACAGCTACTTTTATGTATTTCAAGACTAAAATCTATGAGTACATTCAAATTTGGTCTCCTAGCAGGCATGTCAGAACTGGCCAAGACACTAGTTGGAAGTTTCTGACGTATCTCATTTCAAGTTGTTCAACTTGAAACTTACAACAAAGGTAAATATCTGATAATACAGTATATATGGCAAACAGCCTCAACAACCTCCCATGGCATAAACCACAGACACAGCATTTATTTCAAGAATGAGGCATAATGGGTCTCATTTGCGTGCTGAAGCATTTACACATAAAAGCATTTTATATCATTTCTTCAATCTTCATGTTCTGTTCTGAAGCAAGCAACACTTTGGTGACAAGATGTTAACTGGAGGTGGGGGAAAAAATCAAGAAGACATTGCATAAAATACTAGGATCTTAACAGAGAGATAAGGAAAAAAAATATCTTGGCTCAGTTTTGGAGCCAAATTAGCTATGGGAAAGAACTGTATTAAAAGGGTGGAGGGGAGAATAAGGCTGAAACTGAAAAGACTATGGTTAGTAACACTTAAGTTTCATTTCTACCACACCCTCAGCTCTACTAACACATGGGGCTGCACTATAACCCAGGTCAATAAAATGAAAAACAAAACAAAAAGCCAACCAAAACCCCTCCCACCAAACCCTGTAAACAAGGGTAAAAGTTGACAAGGAACCCATTAAACCCACATTTCGTGTCAGAAAACCCACAAAATGGAACAACAGGCTCAAAACTGTAAATTAGAGGTTAGAAATGATGCACTCAAGTTTATAGAGTAAAACATTGTTTCAGTTGGATCCTTTCAGTTTTTCAAGAGAAGGTGGCATTGATTTTTCTTTGCAAATACCTGTCATGGTCAATAGAATGAGTTCTTTGATGAAGCGAAAGTGGTTTAATTTGATATTGATGAACTTGGCAAGTTTTTGGTTGAATTTTTGGAGTTATATATGCTTGAAGTGTCCCATACTGACCTTCAATAGACCGAACCTGCAGAAATAAAAGCAGAACCCACCAAAAGGAACAAAAGGGAAATTATTAATTTACCATGATTTGGAAAATCAGTGGATGTTCAAAATGTGTTAAAAAAATACTGATGTAATTCAGAAATATTTATAGTACTCTATTTACTTCATAGTGCCACTATAAATAAAGCATTACAAGAATGCTTTAAAACCATATGAAGTAGCATCCAGTGAAGTGCTGTTATTTAGATAAATGAGCTGTTAAGAAAATAAAACCCTCTAACTTGCTTCTTGATCAGTTAAATGAAAAAGTCTGTTGACTTGCTTCGAATTCTGCAGTGGCACCCTTTTTTTTAATCTTTCTTTTAGTTAAGGAAAAGATACATTCTGTAGCAGCTGGCAGCAAAGAATACATTAAGAAATTCAAGAGAGAAAAGTTAATTTCAAAATATGAGTTCATCTCTTCATAACAATCAAAGTTCTTCCTGAGCTATTTTTGGAAGAGTTAAGAGGCCAAGTTTAAGTTTGAGTCTTGGAATACCCAACAAGCAGGGTGTATAAACACATTCAAGACACAGGACACACTCTCCATGCCTTGCAGAACATACCAATGCATCAGTCACTTCTCAGCTACACAGATTGCACTAAGAAGTTTGCCCCTCAAGCAGAACTGACAGAAATAGGAGTGTCCCACCTGTAGCATCAACACCACTGTAAAAGTAGGGCAGGAGAGCTACTGAAACAGCTTTATACAAACAAAAGAGGAGACTGGAGTTCAAGTAAAGGTTTGCTTTATAATCTTGATCATATCCCCTATTTTATAGGGTCCTGGAACTCAAAAAACAGCATTTGGCAGGAAGACATCCGCTTAAATGTTTTGAATACAAATAAGTTAGTAAAGAGTTCTTTTTGGAAACAAAAGCACCAAGACTTAAAAGTTGTATTATCTTGCATCTGCATAGGCGAAGTACAAAAAGAGAATGAACTCCACGTGACAAGTGTAAATCAGTGGAGATCCTGAATGCATTGTGGTGAGGTGGCAGTAGAACCTGTACAGATCAAATCCATCACATCAGGATCCAAATCCACAGGGTCTGATGACACTCTGCACTATGATGACACACAACAGCAAGCTTATAAATGTTTTTAGTGGGAGAGTAAAAAAAACCCTCTTTTTATGTATCATGAATGCATTTGATTCATTTTTCCTGTGTTATTTACTCTTTACCTAGTAAAAGGTACCTATTAAAGGTGGCCAGGGTCATATTCCTAAATTAAAATATGAGAACTGAGACACAGGAAGATCAAGTGACCTGCTCAGAACCAATAAACCCACTAACAGTATTTCTTAAGAAAGGGACCTGGGAAATAAGACTCTTAATTCTGTACACTAGGTCCATTATTGCAACCTCACAAACAAACAGGTAACCACCCCCAACTTCCCCACCCTTGATGCAATTCATGAAGGCTTAAATTTCTAATGATAATATTTTGACTGAGAGTTTTAGATAAGTAAACGCAGATTAGGAGGCTTCAGTGTTAGGTAACTAAATAAAGAGAAAACCCAGAGCCTGAGCTGTGGGCATGTTGAGGATTTTCCTAATTGTGATTTCCTTCATTATTTCTCCAGGTCGTAGTCACAAAACATGGGAATTTGGTGATTCTTTAAAAATAAAACACCCCCATGCCTTTAGTATAGTAAGCATGGAATGACTGGATTCACTTCCTCTCCAAAATAAATATCCAGTCTATATTCCCTTGTTACTTCCCAGTGTAACTTCCTTCTAATGCTTCTGAGGCCAAACAGTGCCAGAGCTTTCTTTCCCACGCCTCTCTCCATTTTACTTGATTCTGGCAATGGTGTGTGGAATGATTTTCACAATCTGTGATTTCCCCACTCCTTTCATCATAAGGACATTTATGAAGGACCCCAGGCTCCCCTCTGAAGGAACACATTTTTAGAAGCTTTTAGAAACCCTAACACACAAATATAAAGGAACACAAGCCCCAGACTAGAAGGTGCTCAGGAAACAGCCAGCCCTAGAAATTGGACTGATCATTTGCCCCGGCTAGGCAGTCAGTCCAGGTGGAGATCCCTCCATTCCAAGGCAGACATCTACACAACCATGAATTTATTGTAAAAAATGTTTTGGAGCATTTTACCTTAAGTTCAAGCCTCGTAGTATTTGCTTGGCATCGGTAAGTTGCAAGAAGAAAGTTGCTATTTGGCTGTAAAGAACAGAAAACCAGAAAAATAACACAAAACAGTCCGTGGATTCACAAAAGTTCTACTGGTCTGTTTTAATTGGTCTGTTTTACATGTACAGTAAAGTTTTTGCCATTTATGTACAGCTATTTTACAAAAGTTAAATACAAAAAAGTAATCTTTGGTTCTCTTGATTATTTCCATTAATTTTAATTACAGTAGAATTAAAAAAAAAATCTTTGTATAAAGAGAAATCAACTGAAGTCTCTTAATACTACCATTAAAATTACACAGGTATCTACTTTTCATCTGAAGAATGCATGTCAGCCTGCCCCACTCATCTGTAGTATTAGTCCAACATCCACAAGCTGAAGCAAGATGGGTAAGAAAACACACCCAGAAAAGCTAAATTAATCATCATAAATGACAAGAAACTTAAAGTTGATTTCTGAAAGCTTCAGGGTAGACCAATGATGTGCAAATTTAGTTCTTAAAACTAGAACACCCAGAGGACTGTTATAAGGAAAAAGACTTCACAGAAGATTTTGATAATGCTAAGTCAGTTTCTGCATCTTCTCCCTGGCCCTAAACATCATTAGTAATTCTGCACGTATAAGTTTATAATTATTACATAAAAAATGAACTTAAATGTATGACTCCCTATGCAGCAGAATTTTCACATTCTTAAGTGATTTTTAAGAGATGAACTAAGTAAAAATATAATGTCCTTCACCTAAATTACTTTGAAGTATATAGATGTGATAGTGGCAAATTCAGAGAAGAGACCAAAACTGAATGTGTCTTTCATATTCCTGATCAGACAGGAAAAAAAAACAAGAGAGCAGTTGCCTCCTCTCCTGGATCCTTTTGCAGACATAAGATTTGCCTTATGTCAGGACTTGCTACTAACTCCTAATTCTGCAGTATCTCTGATGAAGCTGAGCTCTCCAAAATTACCAAATAGGAAGTTTAACTGCATGTATTTAAAATGACAAATATATAAACCCAAATCCTATTTTTACTATACATTATTAAGAGTTTTCATCATGCAATCTCTATAAATATAATCTCTTTTGTTTCACTTACCTCGGAATCACAGCTGCTAAAACTAACAACAGCAGAATTTTTATCCACATCCAGCAAGTCTACTGGGACATCACTCTGCAGAACATAAGAAAAATAAAGAGCTTAAGTTCCTGAGTAGCTTCTAATACATTTATCTTCCAACTGTCATCAGTTGTTTTAATAAGGGAGAGGAAATGATTGCTTCATCCATGAGGTAAAAGTCTAACAACAGACACACAGTTTACTACTTAATCCCGGCATAAGATGATGATCTTTCTCTTACTCTCTTATGAAGTCCCAAACTCTTGTGTGGCTGACTTACAACAACTTCAGTATAAGATGTATAACTATCTTTCAGACATGAAAATATACTTAATCCATATGCATGATGTATATTCATGATTGAAGTGTTTCCCTATTTCAATAGGGGGATTACAATATTCAGGAAACCAAGGATCATAATACATAATGATTAAAGATCCTTTCACTTACAGTGACCTTTCTGACACAGACCATTTCTTACCTAGATGTGTTTTCACTGGAATTAAAATTAAATCTAATACTGTTTTAAAAATGAGATTAAAAGGTATTAGGATGATTCATTGCTTGATTTGGTAATGCTTTATATCTCCACAGAAGTACCAGGAAATGCTGATAAATATGTAACATACTTCCTAAAAAAATAAAAAAAAAAAAACAGTTCTATTGTCTTTTCACAGCAAAAGAATATCAGATACTGGTTTATATTTCTTTAAATAAAAGGCTGTAAGTTCTAAATTCTACATTAAGTTCAGGGCAAGACTAAACAATTTCATTATTCCTCACTTAGGTATGGAAACAGAAGATACTATAGAGCTGTAGCTGAGCATTGCTCTAATAACACCCTTAATGAAAATAGATTTTGATTAACAATTGAAAAATAAAATCTTACAGTAGTTCTCTCCCATTTGTTATGGCAAATTCCTCGTCTATTTTTTCTCCCAATGCATATCACCAGAGAAGGTAATTCAGTACCATTACTCCTTCTGACTACCAAAGATACCATTAATTTCAGCTGATGAAGTAAGAGAAATTATTAATTAAGGCTGCTCTACTTGGCAGGAGTATTTATCATCAACTGCACACAAATCAGATGCTGTTCCACACTGAAAGTGCACAGGTGGCCCATACCATTCTGAAATTAATTTTCCACGACAGAGGGTACTTAACTGAGGAGTGAGAATCTGTACCTCATTAAGATGAGCGAGTTAGTTGCTATTTAAATAAGGAGGGATATGCAAAACAACATATTACACAGAAACCTGCTAGTACAGCAGCCATTTTAGTCTACTTTGGTAGGGCAACCTTGCTGTGTTCAAGAAAAGTTTAAATTGTGTTTGTTCCATAACAAGCATTTACAACAGGTACTTCACCACTGCAAGGCTATATATTTCTCTCTTATAACAATTCAGACATTTAAAAATCCATATCCTTCTGATACTATAACTTGGATTTTTGAACTAGGAAGTCTCCACACTCACCTGCACCAGGACATAATCTATAGCTGTCTGCACCTCCAAGATGAGGCTGTAACTAGCATCATCCTTAGTCAATGTAAACTTATCATTCACATTAAATGCAGGTACTGATGAAATAGCAGTACTGGATTGAGAAGACTGCTGATACTTTTCACGTTCCTGAAGTACTTTCATCTGCAAGTGTTGCAGTTCATTCCTAGAAAAGGGAAACCATATATAATGTCTAAAAAAAGCAACTAGAAAAGCTATCCTAGAAATTAAGTAGATTAAGCTTGCAAGGCAGTCATGTTTATCTTCTGTCCACAATTTTCCAAGCAGTGACTGGTACACTCCTTCCACATATATAACAAAGACAAAATATAAACAATATCAGATGAAAATGTAATTTCTACTGTACCTTGCCAAAAAGGGTTTCTACAAGTCACAGGAAAGGACAACTTTTTCCTTCAAAAGTAATATACACATTGTGAGTGACATGCTAGCGCCTGCTTTCCTCCCATCATTTAGAAGCTATAAGCAGCATAGAAGAAGGGAATCTTATCTTGCTGATACTGAGGGAGAAGGCATTAAGACATCAGCAAATGAAGGCAAGATAGAAAGAGACTGAAATGAAGCTGATACTCATTTCTGCTTTAAAAAGGCTTGCTTCTACTTCTAGATACATCAATGAAATAGAAAATCCAGTCAGATAGGAAGTAAAGATGACATTCCAGCTTTTAACATTTCAATTCTTCTATTTAATTTTCTTTCTAGTGCAATTACCTTAAGGATGAAATCTTGCTCTGCATTTCTTGACTTAATTTTAGTTCTTCACCTGATCCACCTTCTCTATGGACAGGTTCTGTAGTCAGTCCTGTCAGCCAGCCTAAACCAATATATGAAGTTTATATTCCTTATAAGCTATAAAGAAAAGTCTACACTCAGCTTTTGTATGTGTGGAGTGATGTTTGTTCCAGATACTGGGTAGAGAAAACCAAGTCTTGAACTTAATCCTTTCGTTGGAGGATTGATCTAGGCACTAAGCATGGGTTTTTATGGATTTTATTCTTAACTTTTAACATTACTTATTCTTTTCATTAAGTACTTAGAGCAGTAAATCCCTCTGCAGCAGTTTTTAACTGAGTGCTTACATTTTTTTCCCACCTCTATTTTATCTGCTAAAGGTCTTTGCAGTACTACAGCTGAAAGCAAAACAAACCAAAGAGCTGTGCAATGCGTTCATAGCAAAGTGTATGTTGCAACTGTGTGCTTTCAGGCTGAATGCTGCCCCTTGGAGGGAAAAACCACAAATCATCTTTTTGTTTACGTAATTACACCACAGAAGTCATTTACTGCCAGGCTTCACGTGTCATTTTTACTGCTCTAAAGCACTACTTTTCCTACTCTGCCAGGCTCAGTCTACTGCACATCCTACCAGAGATTACACCTTTGAAAACCCACAGGTGAACCCAAGCTTTCGCTTTTTTCTTTCTTCTAGGATTCATGGATCTTTATAACATTCCCAATAAAAGAAGCCACAAAAGACTTTGACCACAGTATGGTTGCAGCCTATCATACCAAAACAATCATATGAGGTGAGGTATAAGAGTCTTTTAATCACTGAAAGACTATTTGAAAGAGGTGTACTTGAACACTGCTACTTCTCAATAACCCACTGAGAATTGTAACTTGCCACAATACATTATTTTGAATATGAGAGGTTTCAGTAGGCTGTTTTTTCAGCACTGAAAATAACCAAAGATAGAGAATTAGCAATATTTTATCTCCCAGCAGTTAACACATGCAGCATGTTTATTGTGGCCTCTGTAAGAGTCAGGCCAATAGGTCAAATCCTACAGAGGGGCTGCTGAGACACCTCACCAGGGAAGCTGAAAAGCATCTACTGAAAGCAAAATCAATCCTATTCAAAGCTCTATGAAGCTGAAGAGGAAGGAAATTACATAAAAGATAGGAAAACAACAACAAAACTTGCCTATGTCTCAGTATTTTGAATCCAAAATGTCATACATAATTCCTTCAGACATAACATATTATTTCACCACAGTTAGGCAGCAGTCTACACCAAAAAATAACCATCTGGTGTGTTACACAGGAAAACACATAATGAATATCTTAGAATATAAAAAAATAGTTTTAAGTGTGAATATTAAATCAGAAGAGATCTTTTCAACAAAACACTATCCTGGCTCCAATCAGTACAAAAAAATTAAGGGAAGTGAGCTGTATTAACAACATAATCTGCTTAATTTTTATCACATCACCCACCCTATGTGACATTTATTAAGTAAATGATACAAAGCTTACCCGAGTATGTGCATACTAAAATTTCATCGTATCCATCTTTTCCTACACAGCCACCCTGGATTGATGTAATGCTCTCCGGTAAAGCCTTCAAATAAATGCATTCAAGCAGAGGGAAATATTACTGCACTCATTTTAAAAGTTTAGGGGTTTTTGTGGAGTTTTTAGGGTTCCTCCTCCTACCTGCATCACAAGACACCTCCAGAGATGCACAATATCTAGACTTACAAATGAGTAAGTGAGCTCATGACTGTCAGTTACATTGGTGTGTTTTAACAAATGCATTCCAATTCTACTGTGCATAACAAAAGCATTAAAAAGCAGTTTAAAGCAAAACGCTCATGGATTACATTTTTCCAGCAGGAGCTAACAATCTGACTGAAGGCTGAAATAACCACTAGGGATCGAATCTACTCTTTTGATTTTTCCTCAGATGAAGACTATTTTACTATACTGGTTTGAAGTTCATGTTGTCAACGTTATAGAGCTTATCAAATTAAATACAAGCCACACATTTTAGTAGTAATGATCTTGTAAATAGGTTTTGTAACACATGGCTGGGTTTTTTTTTTCATTTTTTTTCAGCAAAGAAGAATATGATAAACATGGACTTACATGATCATATTGAAGAACGAGATCATCTGCACTTTGAAAGTTATAGATTTCTAGCATTCCGTCATCTCGTCCAACAAGTAATTCTTTAACTCCATCTCCCAGAATGTCAAAACTATCAATACACAATATACCTAATGAAAAAGAAAAGAAAACTATTTACTTCATCTTTATTTGTTTGTGACACAATGATACATAGGCCACATTAAATTACATAGAAATAAGATTCTTGGTCAGCTGTTTTTTATTAATGCTATTTCTGGATGAGTCCACTAGAGGGCTGAAGTCTCCCACCTGTGCCTGAGGTTTAAGCTTGTACAGTGAGTTTTACAGCAACCAATTCCAAACCAAAACTACTGAAGAGAGACCCCTTCTGCTGTTCAAATAGCTTAATTCTGAGGGGTTTAACTCTTCCTCGTCAAACATTTCCCCAGATTAACTTATTTTTCTGTCCACACTACTGTAACTTTGTCAGTTGAAGAAGCAAGCATTCTTGATTTCTTATAATTAACTTAAAGCTATTGGTAAATGGACTGTTCTGGCTAAGGTGACAGAAAGAGGGATCTGACTTGTGCCAGATCTGGACTAGGTACTGCTACTCAACACGTCAGTGGAAAAACCCACTACCAGCACATGTTGAACGAGCCTATGACAGCTAATCTTGTTTGGACAGGAAAGAGAGAGAGGGTCTGGAAGAAAGAAAAGCAGCAGAGACAGATTGTACAAGAATATGAAAATCAAGATGCAATGTAACTTTTATGATTCATATGTGTTTTATATTAAGAGTAAGGACATACTAGGAAGCATTTTAGGAAAATAATTTAGCAATAGCTTTTATGATATATTTAAATTTAAAAATATTATATCTATTTTATTCTTGGTCTTCTCCTTCACAAAGGTGTAGGGGCTAATAGATGCTGCAGAAGCAGCATACCAAGGCTAAAACAGGGAAAGTGTTGTACTATGCTTTGATCAGTTAAGCCTTATTCTGGAGCTTTAATGAAAGCCTTATTCCGTCTTTAGACAAAACTCCCTTATAGGGGCTTTTTTTTTTTAATACAAAAAGAAAAAAAGAAAAAAAAAAAACAAAGACAGATTTGCAGGAAAGATACTAACCTTCCCTCTGAAGAGACTTTAAGACCACTGAACATCCAAAAAATCCAGCAGGTATATTTGCACTGAGTCATGAAATGATAAAACCCTGAAGTAAATATATATGAATCAATGCTCCTTTACAAATGCCAGGGTAGTGTAAAAATAAAAGTATGCAGAAGTGTTGGAAATAATATGAACAGAAAATGCAAAGGAAGAGAAACCGATCAGAATCATTTCTAAGAAAATCAGAAGAATGAAAGGGAGAGCTTACTCATATTAATAGCAAATACTGACATAATTACAACTTCCCTCAAAAGTATCGATGAATAAGATTTCCTGATTATTAGACTTGCAATAAAGCCTCACATACGCTGGAAAGCTAAAGAGTGAGAGACTGAGACACATACCTCCTCTCTTTTTGTCATTTCCAACTTCACACTTGGGTACAGGCTTGGTACCAGTAATCTGAGTAAGACCCAGTTTACCATCAGAAGTTCCATACACAATTTCTTCTCCAGAATCACCTGAACACATAAACTGAATTTACAATCAATAAAATCAAGTACACCAGTTTCAAAAATTTGAAAGTGTTGTTTAATTACACTCTATAGCCCAAAGGAAAAGGAAAATGCTAACATTAGTGCTGTATAACAGAACTGTCAGGCTGTAAAACCAAAAATTAATATATGCAAACTGCACCTGTTCTGACAATTTGTTCCTGGCTATCACTCTTCTGTGTGTGAATGCCCTCCCTGTACTGCAGTTATGCCTAAAACCCATTCATAATCCAATACTTTAAATTTCAGCTATTAAACTGCCTTTACAGAAAGGAAACAAAGAGATAAATTCAGAACACACATCCAACAGTGAATGTTGTGCCAAGACTTCAGCACAAGTAAGAACTACTTTTCCAAGCTCTTGATGTCATTGCCACACAATTTAACTGAAACTAAATTAAGCACCAGATTAACACACTAAAGCGATTTCTATTAGGTTGGATTAGAAAAGGGATAATCGAACTATTTTAAGCTTGATCCTTCCAGACTTAGTTTGTATGAAGTCTACTCAATACTTTCATCCATCCATGGACAGGTGCAGCTAGTGATTCTAGTTCTGGAAAACCACGTGCAAGAGAAATCCAAAACCTCAATTTTGACAAGACCCCCCAGATCCCAGTTTGTATTTACACAATGAGACTACCTCATATCTCGCTGCTCTTGTAAGAGGCTTTCAATTAACTGTGAACATAATTTAGAACTAAACCAGTCATATATGTGTGTGTTGATATTTATTTATGTGTAATAAACTCCATCACCTAGTCAGTTTTCTGCAGCATTTTTAACATTAAGGCAAAATGTAATTAACAAGGCAATAAAATCCTAAAAATACAGTAAAATCATATTATTTAGTTATGTGCATGTTCAAAATCTTGTTACCCCCATTTCCATTTAGAGCAAGAACAGCAGGTGGTCCAGGAACTTCCACTTCATACAGTAAATCAGATCCCTAAAGACAAAAAGAGCTATCTGGAACGAATTTTGTAAAAAACAAGCAAACAAGCAAACAGAAACCCAACCAAAACCCACAACATCACCAAAAAAGCCCCCACAAATGACCAACCAATCAAACCACAAAACAATAACCCAAAGCATAAGGAAAAAATTATTATGGATAGTAGTAACTGATATACTTCACTTGCACAAAATCCCCATACCGATGGGAGAACCATTTCTAAGCCAAAACAGGGTAAAGTTTATATAAATAAAAACCCAGGACTCTTGAAATGTGCTATTGTTAAAAATAATCTGTGAATTTGGCAAATAGATTTGTTAAACCACTTGATATTACTTAGACCTGTCACAAAATTAACTGGCGAAAGTAAGAATTTCCAAACTGATAAAGACTTAGGTATTAAATTCCCTTATGTAAGCACTTTCCATTTGAAGGGATCAATTTCTTATCTATCTCTTCCTATGAATTCCAAAGCCTATTTATAGTGGGTTTATTAATCCTCATTCTGCAAGTTTATAATAACGATTTTCCTTTAAAAAATAAATAAATAAATGTACCAGCATTATAGACAGTAACACTGCCAAATAAGATACAATATGTTTATCCTTACAGTGTTTTAAGCCATGCTGATATGTTGATTTCCTCAAGAATTAGTCCAATTCTATGGCATCAATACATAAAACATAAGTATTTTAACCTGTAAAACTCTCAGGACTCTATCTTGACACGCAAGTACTGGTGTAATGCAATTCACTTTCTGTACAGGAAGGCAGAGAACATCATTGATTTTATCTCCTGAGAGGTAGTAATGATGGTCTTTGCAGTCGCAGTAATGGTTATAGATGTAGCTTGCACAAAGAAAGAGATCTGCTCCTGAAATATGCCTGAGAAGAAGAAAAGACTTTCTGTAGCATTTTCCCAACATAGTTGCAGTGATAGTCTTTTAGCCTTTCTACTGCTGGCAAATTCAAGGCATCAGGGGCCCCACAAGCTGTTCCAGCTATTAAAAAGTTTCTTATGAATGCTAAACACACATGATTCTTATAGGTTTCTATTTCCTATTTTGTCTCCATGCAAAATCCTACAAATAGAAGTTTAATTATTATATTTTGATGGTATTCATTCTTCCCAAGCCAGTTTATATATATGGCAGCATTTTACAACACAAACCAAAAAGAAAAATAAAAGATTTGTTCCTCATCTGCCAGAGGAAGGGTATGTGTATGTGATAAAATAACCCAGCTGTGCTCACCTGCATCTGTACCGATGTGGGTGCCTCCATACCCCTCCCAAGTCCCCTACTCTATCTAAGCTTCCCTATGATTTTCTAAGTTCCTTCCTACATGTCATGGCACAAGTAAAGCTGGACTGACACTCAGCGTTACTTACAAGCACACAATACAGTGAAAAATATCATTTAATAAAATTATAAACTGTCTGCTGTGGCTATGAAAAAAATTGCAAAATACACATACATAGCTTTGATGTTTTCAGTAAGGTTAGTTTCAAACGAAAGAAACTGCTTCCCTCTTTTTGTGAAACCTCTCACTTCTGATCCTGTAGCCACAAAGATTTTTTCTTGTGGTGTATTAAGAGCCCCTCCCAATTCCAATCTTGCAATTTTTTGGCCTGGCAGTGTCTTGAACACTGGCTGTAAACAGAAAAATAGTTTTCATCATCACAACTTTGTATTTATGATAATCTTTTAACATAAAGGATAACAAATTTGCTTTACAATTTTTGGCAAAACTAAAATACTATGGATTATTTGTGGACAAAAATAATCTGTACATTTCAGAATCACAAAGCAATCAAGCATTTTATATGTTGGTAAGTATAAAATGCTGAAAAATACGATAAATTAAAACTTTATTATTTCAGTGTTATCCATCCATAGGAAAAATTCAGCATTGCAGGTAGCTGTAAGTTTTTTGTTTGGTTGGTTTTGGTTTGTTTTGTTGTTTTGGGTTGTTGTTTTTTTTAAATAACAGTGACTCACTCCCTTCCACTTATATGTTGCATTTTTATTCCAGAAGACTACATAGATTTCTTTGTATTCCCTTAAGGGGGGGAAAATGATAAAATTTTATTAAGTTGGGCAAAGGTCTATTCTCATAAAAAGCAACCAGTTTGGCAAAATCCCCTAAGGTGAGTGACTTAGTGACTCACTGAGGGCTTTTGTCCAGTCACTGTAACAGAGTACCCATACAGACTTAAGCCCAAGTGACCTGCAGAACAAAAGGTGTTAAACTGACCTTCTCGGTGATGATACACCGTAATGCGTGACTCTACAACTGTAGAGGACCGTGTGCTTGTCCAGGCATGAAATCAGCATGCCCTCATCATGGCTAGCAATCAGTCCACAGTTCTACCTAGACACCTTCTACAGGTATCTTATTGGCCATGTCAATAAAAACAAGGCTTTTAAAGTTCATAAGGAGGAATATTTAAAAAGTAAAACTTGGAATGGAACATTTCCACTTACCACAGCTTCTCCTTTTTTTATGCCAAAACATGTAATGACCCCATCCTGATCTCCAACAACCACCTTCAAAAGTATAACGCATTGTTATTTTTTACTACATGCATAGATATTTTTAAATAATACTTTTCCTACGTTAATATTTTTCTGTATTTAAGTACTTTGCATTCTACACTACTTATTTTACATAGCTCTATGGGAGTATGCATTGGAAAGCTAGGTCAACCGTTACACATAGGACATTAAAGCCTAAGAACAGTGGTTTAAGCAAAAGCATTTCCAATCCTTTTCCTGCTTCTTCTTGCAAACACCAGCAACCATCATATGCAATACTCCAGAAAATGCATATTTGGGAATAGCTGTATTTTCAAACTGAGAATGTATTATTAAAACCAAACATACACTGTTATTTCTATCGAGTTTTCCTAATTAAGTTTCCTAAGCTTGAACTTACATTAAGGAAAAATTTAAAATAAATATTTCATCTATATTAAGTGTTAGCAAAACAGAAATAGAGAAATATGCAAGAACTCCCTTGTGGTTTGAGCACTGCTTTAAGCTTTAAAAATTGCTTAGTGGTCCTGAAAGTTTTTCAAGTCCAAATTCAGATTTTTTTTGGTTTTTTTTTTTTTTTTGTTTTGGGTTTTTGTTGTTGCTGATGTTTTCTCCAAAATGTTCCAAAAACACTGGCTCCAGAAGTTTTTTTCCTATCACAGAATCATGGAATAGTTTGGGTTGGAAGGAACCTTAAAGATCATTCAATTCCAACCCCCTTCCACAGGCAGGGACACCTTCCACTAGATGAGGCTGCTCCAAACCCCGTCCAAACCTGGCCTTGAACACTGCCAGGGATGGGTCAGCCACAGCTTCTCTGGGCAACCTTCGCCAGTGTCTCACCGCTCTCATAGAGAAAAGGCTTTTTCCTAATAGCTAATCTAGACCTACCTCCATGGCATACTACCTAAAGAACCTCACGAGACGATTAAGAGTATTTTCGCGGTACATTCCACAGTGTCGCGACAGGCGCTACCTTCTGCGTGGCCTTTCGCCCCGACGCGGGAAGCAGCCTCATTGTCTTCTGCGCCGTCACCCCCACCTGTTAGCAGACACGCTGTCACCAGGACGCAACGGGGCTGAGGCGCGACACCGGTGTGGGCCCAGCCCCGCTAAGGCGGCTCTGGAGCCGCACATCCTAGGGCCGAGACGGGAGGCCTGCCCGGCCCCGGGACCACAGGCCGGCGCTTCACACCCGCCCCCCGAAAGCACCGTGGCCCTCCTTCGGGCTTCTCACCGGCCCCACCACCCTATCGTGAGGCCGCCGGACGACTTCCCCTCGGCCGCCGCCTCACCCCGTGGCCCAGGCCACCCGCGCTCGCCTAGCCCGCTCCCCGGGGTACCGGCACAGCGGTGCTGCCCGCGGCCCGGACCCACCTGCAGGTAGTCCACGCGGGCCAGGCTCAGCTCCATAGCGCCGACGGGACGCAGCCCCGGAGCTCCCACAGCTCCCGTTACCGCAGCAACCGAGCCGGCTGCCCCTCGCCGCGAGGGGCGGGTCCGCAGCGCGGCCTGCGGCGCAATTGGCAGAGAGCGCGGGCGGGCCCGGGTCGGGTCGGGTCGCGGCGCGGCGCGGCGCTGCGGAAGGAGTGGGCCCGCAGGGAGCGTCAGTAAAGTAGGAATGTTTTATTGAAGAACCAAGCACGGCGGCAGCATTGAAACAGTGTAACAAAATACCAGCCCTGCGGCAAGTAAGAACGTTAAAAAAATCTTTTCTACCGCATAAAGAGTAGCTGCGGACTGAGGTCGGTGTCCTGCCGATGTTGGGTTTTACAAAATAAGACGTCCAGTCCTCACTCGTGAAAGGAAAGATGCTAGATTAATAAATGGTATGCGTGGGTACATGTATATACATCCATGTTAAATGCTGTTGCTACAATTACATTCACACTTGGCCGATGTTCATTATTTCTTTGAAATCATACCATAAGGCCTTAGCTTAAACACATCATTAATAAAGAACAAAGATTTCAAGTAATCCTCCACAGATCTAGAGTTGATTTGTTGTACTAAGAAAAATCCTATTTGGACCCCATGGGTGCAAGGAACACAGTACTACGCTGTATTTGTTATTTTACTTTTTTTTTTTTCTTTTCTTGCAAATTTAGTGCAAAGAATTCTCAACATGTATTCATAAACCTGTTAAAAGATCAGCAATTGATACCATTATACCTTTTAATGCATGAACAAAAAAAGAAAAAAATAGTTCTTTGCCTTTAGACAAGTAAAATGAAGAGAGCAATCTTTGCATGGTGAGTTAATAAAATTTCCTAAGATAAATTCCAGAGAAGCTGTACATGAAGTTATTTAGTGCTAAAAATCTACAATACATTTTTCAAGTATAAGATGCTGAAATATTATTGCCAATAAGTAGTTGTGCTGTAGTCAAAACCATAGTTCCTTTGTTGAATCATTCACATGTCAACATATTAGGATTTAGTTTCTCGCTGAGTTTATGTATTAAAATTGCTAATTCTTCTGTTGCTTGGGACTTATCCTCCAAAAGTTCATAGCGAAGACTGGAGATATCCTGTTTGATTTCCTTTAATTCACCTGTATTAATCATTGAAAGAAATACTTGTTAGCAAAGTTTAATACTCCTTCAAATACTGTTAAATCACATCAGTGTGTATTTCAGGTGATCATCTCAAAATGTTCATGAGAGCAGATACAGGAAAGGCTTTACCTCTTCTCATTCCCAAGGGAATGCGAGTGTGTCTCCACCCCTATATAGTACCAAGAGTATTTTAATAGCCCACTGTACCCTAATGTTGTTCTCCACACGTAGACAGGACATCAAAAAGCACAGGTTTTACACAGGTTAATGAATTAATCACACAACACTGCTGAGCAGCTGGTAAATATTAGTACCCCCTTTTAGAAAGAAAAGGCAAAGAGATTTTTTTTCTGATGTGATGTGCAAGAGCACACAGGAAAAGTGTGGCAGAGCTGGCAGTAAAACTCACAGCTTCTGAGTCTCTCTCCTCTTCCTTACCAATATCCTTTGAATTAGAAAAAGTCAACCAATTTAAAATGGTGTTACGATTTGACATGAACACAAAACCGCACTTAAATGAAGACAATTGTCAAGGCCAGGCTTATAACAAGCAACAGGATACTTTCCATCATAGAATATTCAGCTCAAGAGCAGAAGCTTCTTAAACTTTTCAAATACTATTCTTCCAGCAAGAGTGAGGTATGTGAATTCTTACAGCTCTGACTAGGACTCTGGAAGTATGCATACAGTTAATGGCTTCCTCACAAATTTCTACTGTAACTGTTACTTCTGTGCTCTCGTTTTCCACCTGTAAAATGGGTCCCATAATATTTCTCAGCTCTACTTCTTTGATCCTACTTGTCCATTTTTGTTGTCACAGGTATACTTACACTACTGTCTGAGTTCTGTGCATTAGAAGTGAAAATAACACTCTTTTTACCTGAAACTTCCACACACCCCTGTAATCCCAATTCTTACTACAACATGACAAAAATTGTCTCTGACTGTTGCAACTGCAGTCTCTTTCTTACCTTCATTTACTTCATCATTTTCTTTGTCCACTTGTGCTTTCAGAACGTAACGTTTTATCAGTCTTTTCATTATTTGCTGCCAAATTGCAACAGTTAAATAATCAGATGAGCATATACAATTAAACACTATTCACTTTTCTTTCCCACCTATCTCCCTCATATCTGTGTAAGTGAATAAATGAACAGCCTCAGATAAAGCAGGTGCCTCATATGAGTTTTTTGGCGGCATGCTGAGATTCATCATTACAATGAAACACCTTTGTTATCCTCTTATTTACAGAGCAACACAACTTTTTGTAGGGAGCAGGACAACAGGAAAATATGTTTAAACACACCTAATTTAGGCTGTAGAATAGGTCAACTCTGTTGAACTGAGTTCACATATGAACGGATGTGTAAAATATAAATATTTATCTTTTAAAAATAAAAATTGAGATTTTACACTATGACAATGCAATGTCAGCTGTAAAGGATTCATTAAGATGGCATCTGTATTTTTATACTGTAACTGCCAGTGTTCCTTGTATGTGATAATATTGTTGAAGTGTGTTACCCTTTCCAATCTAATGTAGGTCGTCTAACAGGGGTTGCACAGTAGATTACATACTGTCAACATTTTCACAAGGGCTCCTATCTACTCTTTTATTTCTGAGTTGGAAAGATGTCAGGAAGGGAGTATCTGTCAGAATCCTCTTACCAGAAAGGAGCGTTCCTATCTGCAGTGATGTTGAATGTCGCACTTCAGATGTGAAGAAAGAAAGGGAAAGTAGTGCTAATCTACTCAGCTCAATGCCTTCACATTGCCTCCTCAGAAATCAGTTTCAGATACTTGCTTCTCACACTTTCCAACCCAGGCCATCAAAGGAAAATCTAAGTTTTGCATGGGCTAGTTTTTAAACTCTATTTTAGAGTAGCACTCCAGAGTTTGATTTCTACAGGAGGTTTTCTTTATCTAGTGAAGACAAAATGTACTTGAAACACAAAATTCTGCTAGTACTTTCACACAGTTCTATTACTCAAAACAGTGATCACTGCATGTGTTTACCTGATAGCGTGTCGGCTGATTGAGAATGCTGTTGAAGCTGTGTGATTCAAAAACTCTGGAGTTTGACTGAAAAAGGTTTAACTAGGGAGAAATAAGAGAAAATTAAAACCTGTTATGGAATTCACAGTAAGCATTCAGCTCCTTTTCTTCCTTTTTTTTCTTGGAGGCATGTTTGGTGTGTCACTATATCAGAATATTATTTTTTTTAAAAAAAACAAACCCAACAAGATAGCCTTATTTGCTGGATTTGTGTTTTTTTTTTTTTTTAAAGCTATCCTGTTCACAGCACAGCTCCAAAGCAAATGTGCTTGCACAGCTGAGGAAATAATGAATTATGACTTGGAGGCAGAGATGAGTGGCCAGAGTAAGGAGAGACTCTTTGAACTGGCTTTAACAAAGATCTGTTATGGATCTGCAGTCATAATCCTGCTTTTAACTACAAATACATGCTCAAAACTATTTCTGCTTAGCTTCAAGTGTTTTTCCAAAGCGCTCTTTTCAGGAATAGTATTGCATTTTTTTAAAAAAGGTCATTGCTCGACCATTCAGTGATCACAAAGCCATTAGATCCCAAACAATACAAGATTTTTGTAGCAGCGGGTTAGAAATAGAAGGAGAAAAAAAAGCCATCTTTCATGAGAGAGCTTTGTGACAAATGCAGAAGGTTTGTTACTACCAAATCAAATACCAGACTCTCCTTTCAGATACACTAATAAGGATTACGTAAAAAATGTGTATCCACAGGTAAAATTCAACCCCCTAACCTGCATCTGTCATTAATTTTTAGTGACACTGCATTCCATTTATATTTGTAAAGAACATTTAGATACTCAAATTTAGAATGCCATTAATGCACTGAAGATTACTACTGTTGATCCCTTCCTCTTTCCTGTTGTCTTCTGTTGAGAACACAGCTTTTGACAGTGGGAAGTGAGTATTATACTGACCACACTTCATTTGTCTCCTGTCCTAGTGAAAGGAAAAGTTATTTCCTCTTATTCCCTCCAGGTTTGGGTGTTTTGGTTTTTTTTTGGTTTTCTGGTTTTGGGTTTTGGTTTTGTTTTTCTTTTTACCCTGAACTAAAAATCTTTGTAAGAGAGGCTGAAAACATCCCTATTCAATATTTAAGTTATTCCTTGTGTGAATTATTTGCATCTTTAAGTACTCAGTTATTTTTATTTTTATTGTGTTTTTCCAGTCATTGGACCTTGTTATCCTAAGAAAATTTAAGGCTATTTTATTGTTTGATATAGTATATTTAGGCAGTCTGCAATGTAGATCTATGAAGACAAATGCTTGACTAATTACCATACCATCATTGGAAGCACAGGTTATATCCTAGAACAAAAAGAAAAGCAAAATGCTATTTACAGATCTTCATTGCAATGAAGAGATTTCAGTACCTACCCTAGATTTGGAATTGCCCATTCCCATTTCAATATCCTTCTGTAGTCGTCTCCTTCTGCACTTAGAAAAGTTAATGATCCTCATGATGAAATAGAAAAAAGATTTGGGGCTTGGTACAAGACTGAATGGTGGAGGTAATGTTTTTCCATCATCAAAATATGATAACCACAGTTTAGAACGAGCAAATTTCCACTCTACATCACTGTCATCCTGTGTAAAAATATAAAAACAGGTACGTGCTTTATTTTTAGGAAATACAAAACTTTTTCCACATGACACTTCTGTTAAATATTGACCCTTTCTGTTTTACATAAAATGTTGCTTGCTAATAAAACTCCCAGTAGATTTGCAAAAAGGCAACCACTTTATTAAGTCCATTTTAACTAAATTTCAGTTGTCTCTTTATGGCAACATCTCATTGACAATGCTTAGTTGAAGCATATGAACCATTTAAATAAGTGTTAT